GTACACTGTGGTCTGTATCGGAGTATCTGTACTTTAGGCTTTTTGTAACAGCAGATATGTTTAACAATACAAAAAACACTGTAATATATGAGATAAATTGCAATAAGCACTGATTCTCTTACCAAAATTGCTGGAGCAGTAATTGCTCTCAAGTGTTCCTCGTCTTTTACATTTCTGCTGGCAAAGGGCAACAGAGTACTTCAGCGCTGCGGAGACACACACACACACACACAAAAGATAATTCAATCTCTGTAATTTCGCCTGCCAGTGATGCAAGCATGTAAGTTATGGTCACATCTGCTTCCCATGTGGTTTATTTACTGGATATTCTCGGTAACACAAGAGCCTCTCCAAATGAGCGGCTGTCGACCTCAAGAGACAATGCACAGTGTGTAAGAAAAGCAAGATAATGTGACAAGCGAACATCTGTTTCTCAAGTTCGAGATAGTAAAGAGTCCATAAAGGAAAGGACGGAGGCTTAAAGAAAATACAGGGTGACTGTCTAAATATTTTTCTTGCTGCAGAAGGGAAAAGTCGGGGGGAAGATAAGCCAACCAGAGAGCGATGTCACAGTATGACATCATGGCTGGGAGGCGCCAAAATAACCTGGCCTGACTAAGGGGAAAAAACAACAGTGCGTGGGAATGTGAGTTTGAGTATGAAAATGAGCTGTGATTGCGGGTGCACACACACACACGCCCACACTCTATATTAACTTATGTTATGTACACTTTACATGAGAGGAATGTGAGCAAAACACACAGTTTTAGCATATGTTGTGTTTGAACAAGTGCGAGGCTGCATCTCTCGCGGGACTTAATGTCTTCAGTACTGTATGTTCTGTTGACTCACTGCACAGAAGACGCTAATGCATCGCAACTGCACACTGAATTAGGAATATTAGTTTGACTTTTTTTCATTCAGCGGACCACTTTTAACTACAGTAAAGAGGTTCTGACTCATAACCATGAGCAGCATAAAGGGAGAGTTGTAATTGCAGCCAAACTGGACTATTACTTAACCTGCTATTGATGTGCTATTGTAGGCAAATTCCAGATCCCTCTCGTGTTTAAACAAAAAAAAAACCTCACATGTTAGCAAGAGTATCCAGCAGTACGAAGCCAGTATGTCTCTGAACAAACACAGATGTTCTACTGGTTTTCACTGGAAACGAGTTGCTGCTTACGTATGGCCCTGGTGGTGACGGGCTGAGTGGTGGTGGTGGGTGGGATTGTTGTGGTGGGGAATTTCTTTGGTCTGAACTTGTAGTGTCCAATGAAGCCATCGGCGGTTAGACTGAGATCAGACAGGAACTGGATCAGCAGCTGATTCCCTTCTGAGAACACCGGCCTGCAGAACAACGCAGGAAATTAGACTGAGGGTAACCTGAGATGAAGTCACAGGACGCACAGTTTTGGGCAACAAAACAGAATCTTGACAGAAATCACCTACGCTGGGGGGCTGTCTCCGCAGTATTTCCCAATCCTCTTTGCGTCATTTATTTCTGGCCCGTTGAAAATAGAGACATGGTCATAGCGGCAGTAGTTGTCCCGCTCCACGTCAAACTTCTCGAACTTCACTTCGATAATCTGCAGGAAAATTACAAAGAAATCCTCTTTTAGAGAAAAAAAAGAAGTCTGTAATCGGCTCTTTATCAGGTGGGTAAGATGCAAGTAAGCTGCTCAGTGGGCTAATTCCCCTAAACTTCTATTCCTGTAAGAGCCACTTTCCAATCAGAAAGTCACACTTAGATTTGAACATTACATGTCTGACCTGGTTCTTTGGTGCCACTATATGCCAGGAGCAGGTGACGCCTGCTGGGTAGTCTTTCTCTGGCCAGTTGGGTGTTTTGAAAGAGCCAGAGGGCTTGTCCAGTCGGCCTCCACAGTACTGTTCCCCTACAGAGAGATCATGATTATCAGCAGCATTAATCAAAGCAAAAAAAGAAATGTGCAAGATCTTGTTTTCCATCCTTATAAAGGCCAAAATGGTGAGTCAGTTATGCAATCATGCCATTAACCACTCATCTACTTTATTAGGAGCTCTCATTGCCGTTTTCGTCACTTTAAGCACCCTGTAGAGCGAGTGTATCACGGGTCGTGTGTGCTGTTTAAAAGCAACCACTTCAACTTGTGTTTCCTTTCCAATGCGACTGAAGAAGAAGTATAATTTAGCACAGTCAAAAGCAGACATTTGACAAACGCAGGACATGTCGTGCTGCACAGTGTTAATCAAGTTTGATGACAGTGTCTTTCTGCTACCGTCAAGCAAGGTTAATAGACATTGTCCACGGTAGCTGTCAGCTTGTTGGCTACCCAGAACTATCCATTAAAATTCCACCAAAACAGTAGATGTGGCTTTGCAACCCTGCACAAAAGGAAAAGACTGAGCGATACTTCTGACTTTCTACCAGAATGCTCCCAAAGAAACGTCAGTGAGAAATTCCACATCACACCGTGAGAAGAGTTGACGTGCAGCTCTCCTCTTGTCCATGTGAACTTTAAACCCAAAGCCTTGTCTCTAACAAATGAAACCCTCAAAGGTCGCCGGCTTTAAGCGAGCAGAAGACAAATTGTGCTTCCTTTTTGTTTTACTGTGTGTCTGCATGTGCTCAATGTGAGTCACTGCATTATGCAAAAGCTACTTAAGGAAGTACATTTTTTTTCTATTTCTGTCTGGCCATTGTGGTACAATGCAATGACCTCAGTGGAGCCACTCATGTTGACACAATCCCACGTGGCTATGTTGTACACGCTTGGGTAGTGGCAGGCTTTTCTACACAGTTGCTACCCTTTGCAGCCTTGACAGCGCTGAGTAAGAGAGCAACATAAAGTAAAAGCATGCCAAGATCTTTTCTTTTTTTTTTCTTCCCAACTTCTTCTTCTTCCCATGTTGGCCTACCTCTCTCATGTGGGTGAGCAGCAGAGAAAACAGCAAGAAAGCCACTCCCAGCAGTGTTGGCATCCGATACCATCTGCAGGAGCATCTTGTTGCCTGTCGAAACAAGGGCCCCCGGCTTGAACGTCCCGCAGAAGCGACCGAGCCTCTGCCCGCTGACATGGCCGCTGTAAACATCCACGTAGTCATAGCGACACAGGTTGTCATTCTCCAGATCAATAAAGCGGAATGATAATACCACCACCCTGCCCTCAGGGACCTGGATGGAAAATCACAGGGAGCATTGAGGGTCTTATTACTGATGCTATTGTTGATTGACATAAAAAATAACATGATAGGTGTACACATTTTAGTCATGACTTACAGAATGTAAAACAGAGTTTGCCACAAAATATTTCATTTACAAAACCTGATACTGCACTTAAGGATGTGGTTATAAATGCAGCTTTTCCAGCTACACCATCAGCTTCAAAGTACAGTCATGTTATAGAGCCAGTCAGCAAAAAAAAATGCCTTAAGCTGACTGTGGTTGAGTATTTTTAGAAGGAAATTGGGAGTTTGGGCTGTGCCAAAGAGCCTCATACTATTACATTGTGCAGCTGCTTTCTATCTTTTTAATTAAGAGTTTTACCATCATTTTTCCTAGGATTTGGTGGGAAAGCAAAACATGTGAATATGTAATTGGACTCACTGTGATTCTCCACACACATTTGGTATTTGGAGGGTAAACTCCCGGATACCCCTGGCTCCCGATTACTCCAGAGTCCCCTGTGATGTTTCCGCCACATGTGAAGATTGGTCTGAG